CAGGCTAAAAAAAAAAGAAAAGAAAACCACCATCTTCGTCGATGGTCCTCCTCAACCTACCACACACTGCCGCCTAAGTCACCGGAAAATGCTCCCCTCGTCGGCGATTTCAACCTACACACACTTTCCCATCAAGCAATTACACATACAAATCATTTAACCATACAAGACGAAAGACCCATCTTACGAAGCCAAAAATACCGCGAACTGTCGAGGTTGGTTCATCCATTTTTTAGCAAATTTGACCATGACCCATAGGTGCATTAGATGCGCCGTGAAGAGTTGGAGCTAGGATGGGTGGTCCGCTATCATGGGGATTGACGACGGCGTTGGAATTTGGCTTTGAAGGGGCCGAATTTGCTGTAGAAGAAAACAACTGCAAATCTTGATTTTCAACCCACAAATTGGATCAATTGGATAATTAATTGGTACAATTAATTCATGACACAGTGTGTTAACAACCTGAATTGAAGGTATCAAGGTGGAATTGGTGGATTGAAGCTTTGTAGAATCTTCAATTGACGGGATCGTTGTGTGCTGTCGAGGCTGGTTTGTCCATTTTTGGGCAAAATTGACCATGACCCATAGGTGCATTAGATGCGCCATTAAGAGGCGGTACTAGGGTGGATGGTGTGCTATCATGGGGATTGATGACGGCGCCGAAATTTGGCTTTGAAGTGGCCGAATTCACAGTGTTTTTGGCTTCTCGGGATGGGTCTTCTGGCTTGCAATTTCTACCAAATCGGTTGCCATGAAGGTTGGATTGTATGTGTAGAGGGGAGCGAGGGCTTTCCGATAGTATGGAGGTCCGGTTGTTTAGGCGGTGATTGGCCGGAGTTTTTTGGCTTCAAAGGTGGTAGCCGGCATTTGGATTTTTTGGCTTGGTGATAGTTTTTTCAAATATGGACTCATTTGCACTTTTTAAAAAGTTTAGAAGTAAAATTGCAATTTATTCCTAATTTTTCTTATCTTTTATTTAAAAAGAATGGTATTTTAGTCAAAAGGACGTTCAGCACAAGGAAACGTTGAAATAAGGACGAAAATGTAAAAAAATGGAACGTACGGACGTTATCCGCAATAGGGGTCAAACATAGGGACATTTTGCGCTATTAAGCCATTGTCAATAGCTGGCCCTATTGAACGTTCCTAGTGCTCAATTCCAGTTTCCCATTGTGGAAGAGCTATATTATTTTGAAGATTAAGCCACTGTTTGACGCATTCTCTAAAACTACATTATTTCAAAATTTATTTTCAACCCCACATTTTTTAATAAAATAATATTTTTCATTACATCAATAAATTTTCCTTACTTTTTAAATATATTTCTCATCATATCAATATTTCAAATACAATTTTTCCTCAATAATATCCATCAAACACACCCTAATAATAAAAAAACAAGAAGACAATACGTTGAAAATTAAAAACTATGGTTTTCATTAGAGTTCATATAAGATGTACAAACAATAAAAGGTAAAGGCAGATGATCATGATGCTAAATGTACTGAAGAGATTCAAGGGAAATGTTATTCTTCTGGGTAAAAAGCATGTTAGGCAAAACTACTTTCTTTCAAAGTCGGTTTTTGACCTAAAACTCTCAAAAGAACGGAACTAACAAGAAAGCTCAACAAGTTTGGCACAAAAGTTACAAGTAACTTTTAAGCTTGGATATGCTCAGAGGACAACAGATATGGAGCAGGTGATCTACGAAGTGGACCATATAAGTTGGAACGTATCAAGTTTAAGAAAGAAGACAGATTCCAATAAGCTTCTTACCAGCAACCAGCATTGCTCCTCGCAGTTGGACGGCGTCACTTATGTGCTTAATGGTTTTTTACAGGATAACTTTCCCCATCACTTCCGTCTTGGTGGATCCCGGCTCAGTCCGTGCTTCTTTAGAGTTCTGATGTAGTTTCTCATAAGAGTGACCTTGTTGCACCCAAGATGATAGAAGTAATCCCATGTAAAGATCCCAGTCTTATGCATGTCATCAAATAATAATCTACATCAGCCATCACATAGATTCATGAATATACCGTAATAGAACTCCTGGAACACACAATACTCATCAATAAGATTATAATACCTCACCCCATAGTTCCCTACAGGTTCTGCAGACATGATTCCAACATGACGCCGCCCAGATATAACCTTTTTCCAAGAACAAACAGTATCTTAATTGCCAACAACCAAAAATGCATTTGCCATCAAATCATTTGGTGAATAGTTGATAATATAACCAATAGAGAAGATGGACAAGTAGCAATAGAAACATCCCAACTTCAAATTTTCTTTCACAATATGAACCATTTTAAATTAAGTCGTCCTGAGAAAATGTGCTCTAAGGCAAATATTCAACTAAAATGGATGTTATAGAAATGAAAATATTTCAATCCAATTACCTTTTCACCTCCAACTGATCTAATCTTACTGTCAACAGCCGGACTATATATTCTCAAATACTCAGCTGATAAATTATACATACTACTGTTGTCATATTCCACCTCTACCTGATCACAAAAAAACAGATAATGAGGTCACATCATCGTCACAGAAGCTATGGCATAACTTACAGTGAAAATTTGTTTCTTAACACTTATCGTTAATTAATTTGCTAAAATGCACTGAAGGGTTCCCAAAATACTAAAGTTTCATTGAAGAAGTTCTTTACGCGTATATTCATGTTTGAACTTCAGGTTTGAGAGTCCAGATCATCAAAAATTCAACTTCACCATTGAAACAGATGAAAAATATCATAACCAGTAATGGCAACAGCATAGAAATGATATATTTGTGAGCCCCGAGGACTGAGTTCAAAGTTTCCATCAAGTAAGTTATTCCCTGATTTTTCAGGCAATGTCGCGTGAAAATTAGATGTCTACTACATGCAGTTCTCTTACAATCTCATAATTATGATATCATCTTGGATGATGCATCAGAATAAATTCTCCATTCAGTACAAACTACATGTGACCGTAAAATCACTTCATCGGTTGACAGCCATCAGAAAGCTTCTCTATTTAAGATTTCAAGTACACAATTTTTTACTTTATGTGCAAAACTACAGGACAAGCATATACATAACAAACGGTTCAGCTTCAATTCATGCTTTATGATCACAAACAGAACATGCAATAGATATTCTTCAAAGTTTCTGTCCAGGCCAGAATAGTGATGGTATTAAGTATTGATAATTACTGCATCCCCACCATGTTGGATAGAGGTGATATTTCAACAAAAAATAATCTCAATTACTACCTAAGGGCCTAAGGCATCGCTGACCTTTGTTCAGAGCATGTTAGGTAAGCTTTTAAAAAGATTACATATAAGTAAATAATAAGTTTTAAAGTGAATTTTTTTATTGGTCAAAGTTGAAATAAGTTATTTATTTTGACTGACAATTATGTAAGAGTTACTTAAGAAAAAGTAACATATTTTAATTAAAAGTAAAGAAAAATGTAAATTATCGAAACAAGGTTGGAGCTTTTAATTTTCTTTATGCCAAACATGATCTTAGTCTGATTTACGTTAACTGCATATATAGGCGCGTATGGTTGAGGTCTCTTCAAACTTCCAGTCCAGCAGTAAGGTAATCTCGACTATCATGTTAACATAATAAAACCACCTCACCATCTTTTAGAGCTGATTAGGATTAATTCATAACTAAAAGTACAGAAGTTCCCATTTCTATTATAACAAAAATATGACATTTACATTCAAAATGCTAATTTTCCCCAAATCTTATCCCAGTAAAACTCGGTATTCCGTAAAACGTGGCATTCCATTGCAACAAAAATCCAGGGATACTCTATTTGGCACAAGCATCAAGTTCGCGTCAATTGAAAGAAATCCGCATTAAGATACTTTAGAATCTCATAAAAGGTCTAATTATCTTTTGATAATACTAATGCTGCATAATTAACAAACATTCAATTAAGTAAATCAAAACTTTGAATTTAGGGTTTCAAAGATTACTCCATGCGAAATTAGCAAGAGAGAAGGAGCTTACACTCTTGGGAGCTTGAAGGGAGAATCTCGTGAGACGGGGACACTCCGGAACCGTCTGTATGCATCGAATCGCTCTCCGTATTCTCGCCATTCTTTTTCTACGCCTCACCCGCTCTATAATGAACGTATGTGTAAATTTTCTTCTCAGGTGATGTAAAACGTGCTTTCAGGGGAAGACGGTGACTACGGAATAGCGATTTTAGCACAAACGTGAAAACTTTGGAACATTTTTATAGAACATCAATACCATTGAAAATATAATTAAAAATATTTTTATAATATGTTTTATTAAGCCCCAATATCTTATTTTTCAATCTTTATCCATTTTTTGCTCATTATACATAAGTGTACATAGGTGTCATACTAGCCGCAGATATTGATTGCTTTAGTTGATTGATTACCCAACGATTAAATTAGACTAGAAAATAACATAGGAGTCCTTTTAGCATTTCATTAATTTTTCTTGAAAAGGGCATTTCCGGTAAGTCAATCATAAAAAAAACGGCAGCTTCTAATTTGTCCAACAAGTTGTTGAGAAATGAACATTGAGGTGCAAATTTTGCAAGTTGTCTTTAAAAAAAAAAAATAATAATTTGTTCATTTAAGTATTTTATAAATAGTGGTTGCAATGATTTTTATAAAGTAAGTAAAAATTATGAAATAAAAATCTAGTTTTATCAACTTATAAAAAAATTGGGTACCTGATTGGTCATTGAACTTTACATTAGATTTTCAAAATGTCACTGAACTTCAAAAGTTTATCTATTAATCACTGAACTTTACAAATGTAATCACATCCATTATTGAAAACTTTAAAAGTTTCTCCGTTAATTACTGAACTTTATAAAATGTAATTTAATCCATTGGAAATTTTTTTTGTAAGGTTAGGTGACCCCTTGAAAACCTTACGTAAAATTCAATAACTAATAAGATAATTAACCAATCTTTAAATTTTTTTTTGTCTTTCTTTTTTTCCTCCTTTTTTATCTACTCATATTGCACAATTTTATTCTCTAGAATTGCCAAACTTAGAAAAAAAATTGTCTTTTATCCCAATAATAATCGATATGGTTGTCTGCTGACTTCTCTAAAATCAAATGAACAATATAGTATAGTTCTATGTGTTGCTTCAGTCTCGATCATCTTTCCATCAAGACACATCTAAATAAAAAAAAAACAAAAAATTATTAAATTCTTAGCTGAAGATGTTTATGAATTTCAAAGTTGAATACTAAGAAATGATCAATACTGAAGTTCTCTTCCGAAATAGTAAGTTGACTATATGGATCACTATTACCTCTTGAATTTTTGAGACGTTAGCAAATAACCTAATCGATTACCCCCATGATAAAGACTATTCTTTTTTCCGAGTCTGATGATGCTAGATGTAACAAAGTTGTAGGGTCTGAATACAGAAAAAGACTAAATAGAACATGAAGATTGATAAATTATCTGATTAGTCACTGAACTTAAAATTTTTTTTAGAATCACTGAACTTTATAAATGTAATCACATCCATCACTAAGAATTTCATTGTTAGTCACTAAACTTTACAAAATGTAATCTCCTTCATCACTCGATGATTAATGGTTAAACTTTAATAAAGTTCAGTGATTAACGGAAAAAGTTTTGAAGTTCAATAACTCCATCTAAATCTTACACAAAGTTCAGTGACCAACTAGGTAATTAACCCATAAAAATTTATAAGCTACATCAATTCATGGACTTTATGGTATGACCATTTTTTACGGAACGATACCTACAGATGAAGTGTAGCACTCTATTGATATTTAAGTCAAGGATCGAGCAACTCAATATCAGTATTCTAAAGTTAGTCTTTCTTTTTTTAAAATCACATGTATGAAATGGATTTATTAGGTATAGGATACAAAGATTGGGTGTTATTTCACATTGCATACAGGTTTTGTAAATTTGCATTATTGTTACAAAAAGTACCATTTGCTGGAAAGTTTACGAATGGAACATTGTGAATAGCTAAATAGACAAAAATACTCTTATTTGAAATATACAAATCACACCATATATATTACCTATTGTATAAGTTTATATAATTTTTTAGTTACCAATGTTTTGAAAATTGGACCAGAAATTAACCTAGGAAAATATGAAAGGTTAAGATCAAAGGTTTGAATTGAGGTTAAATCGGGTCGACTCAAAAAATAAATTAATTATATAACAAAAATTGTATATAGATATGTACTCTTTAAAAAATTAAATTAATATGTAGATATATACTTTAATTTTTTTTTTTAATAATGTTATACAATTAAAGGTATAAGAGAAAAATATAAGAGAAAAAATATAGAGAGTCAAAAACTCACATATGTATTTTCTTGATAACCAAATCCCCGTATTTATAGGGTTACAAATGAAAATTACAAATCAGAGTAGAATATACTTTTTTAAAGTAGATAGAACTTATCTAAGTGTTCTGATAAGACTAAAGAATCATCAACAATTATCCTATAATTTTACAACACTCTCCTTCGATTATTATTTTGCACAATAACTGTCTCATTAAAATTCTAGTTTGACAAAACTCCGCGGGATAAAAATACCGATTGAACGAGAAAATGAGTTCAAATAATAGCAACAAAATTGGAATAATAAAATGTTGTCGCTTTAAAAACTTGTTAAGAAAATCTAATTATACAAAACTTAAGCTAATGAAAAAGAGTAAAGTTACTTCCTCTTATTTCAATGAACAAAAATCCTTATTTCAAGCCATCCTTATCTTGTATACCAATGTCTTCGTTATCACAAGTATGTGTTTGTATTGTCTTGTTATAGTTTTCAAGCAATATAATCTTCATATGAGATGTTTATCAACATTTGGTAACGTAGTAACATGATGATTCAGAAAACAACTCTTGTTATTTTGTTTAAGAATCTCATGCATATACGAGTCTTATTTTAAGGGTAAATATTTTGTAAGTTATAGACATTCATTACACGAAGAATATGATTGCGCTAGGATCCCGAATTCCCATGTAGTAATCATTTTTAGCCTTAATTCTACACGTTGACAACACGATTAAATTTTGAAGAATCAATATTCCAATTTTATTCAACAATCTTTCTTGAGTATTGTTAAACATATTCTTATATATGATCCAACTATATTTTTATGATGGATGCGAACATACAAGAATGTATGAATTTTTGTGAACACTTAAAGATTCACATAGAAAATAGTGATGTATTTATATCCCCTATCGGACCCTATGACATTTACACTATGTCGGCCATATTTTCCTTCTTTCAAATTCACAAAATAAACCACCAAATTCATACAATTACTTTGCACAATAATCGTAGAGAAAAGATAATCATGTAAATCATTAACAATTCAAAAACGTGTTTTCAATGTTAAATATGTAAAACTAAAGATTAAAACTTCATATTAGAAGGTTTATCGTTCTTCTAACACAAATAAATCTAACTTAACATATTATGAAGAAAAAAGTAAAAGATATAATAATTGTTCATCACCCGAAAATTCTTGAATTCGATCTTGAATTTCTTGGATTTGAGCTTTGCCTCCTTTTGCAATTCATTCTCCACATTTAATTATGTTTTCAGAGTTGGTATTTATAATGCCTTTAAAGAGTTTGAAAAGATCTCCAAAAATCGTGCATATCATGGCCAAAACGAAAGTTTCCTGGTTGGAATTGAATTTTGAAGGAAACGTAATTTTCTAACCAAATTGGCCTGGGCGAGCGCCCAGTAATAAACGGGGCGGCTGCCCAGGCATACTAAGTAGCCCATGTAATTAAGTTTAAGGGCAAGATTGCAATTCGACCTATATAACTGGACGGCTGCCCTGTTATAAAAACTTCTCGAAATTTAATTTTAGCCATTTTCTTCATTCTTTCTTCCATATTGATTCTCCACATTAAGTTACTTAGATTTTAATAATTCAACTTTTACTCAAATACATATTAGTTCCCAAACTTCCATTCATTTGCGAATTGATCATTCTTTCTTTTCCAATTGCTTAGAAATAAGTTAAAAAATGAAATAAGATAAAATTAAGTCAAGTAAAATTCAATGTTAAAATGACACAAAAACTTAATAATATAGCCCGAATAAGTGCACAAAAATGCACTTATCAACAAGTTTAAGAGCATGTTAAGATTTTAGCATTTATTATTTATTTTTTAAAAACCATTTCATCACATAAAAATTAAATAGACCCAAAGAAGGTAATAACCCTACATATACAATAAAAACGCCCAATAAGTTTGTAAACCTAGAAACTTTGTCATTTCAGAAAGAGGAAAAATCATAAATATCGTATGTAACTCAACCAATGTATCATTCATTGCTTTATCCCACTTGAATCAGTGCATAGCTTGGAAATCATGCATGCCTTCAACCATGGCAATGAATTGAGCAAGACAGTTGACACACCATATTCATTTTCTCGAAAAGGGGTCCTCATAGCTAGCCACCAGTAGCTTTAGGTAGCCACTCCTAGGGAGGTGCGCCACTACCTAGCCCACGTACATTGCAAAGGGTGCATTAGGTGCTTCAATGTGCACTTTACGCTTCAATTTTAGAAATAGAACCATGGTTCGATGACACGGCACATGGTGGCTATATAAGTTGGCATTTGAGGTGGCACACACATGGAGGGTGTCATGGCGACGTTGTACATGTAATGCACGCATAGCATCTACATGGTATTATGATTGTTCAAAATTGGTAGAAGACATTTATTTGAAAGCTTAGTGCTTGTTTGGAAAAAATTAAAATCCAATTAAAATTGAAAATATAGTCGTTATTGGGGCCCACTTGTCTAATAAAAGTTAACAATAGCGGTTAGTTTTTCAATTTTAATCCAATTTTAATTTCTACCGAACTTGCCATTAATTTAGACCATCAAATCACAGTAAAATATGAAAAGGTGCAATTCGATGGCTGAAATTGTTCACATCAAATGTTGCACCCATTTCGAAATGATATTCAGGGTGTGTTTGACTGGCCTTATTTTTTTATGAAAATTTTTATTTTTCCACACGAGTTTCTACTTTTGGGGTGTTTGATTGATATTTTTTCATGAAAGAT